ATAAATACATGCACACAAAACAATGGTTCACATACCCCTCATGCAATTCACCATGAATCCATATCACATTGTCATACATATATGAATTAACTCTACAACATAGTATCATACCACTTTAAACCACTTTTTGATCCACATGATAACACCTTAGAATATCAAAACAACATATATCTCCCTTTGACAACTGTTAGAGAAAATAACACACAGAGAGTTATGCTCACCCAAATAAGCTCAAAACTATCTCAAAAGAAATATAAGAGGATAATCTAAAACTCTTATGAATACATGAAATTCTAAAAAAAATCATCTACTTAGCTAAAAGTTTCAAAAAAATCGAAACAGATATAATCCATGTTGACAGCTTGACCTATGTTCACTAAAACAGCCATAACTTGAGTTATACACATTCTTTTTGAGTGATTCCAAAGCCATTGAAAAGCTAAAACCCAAAGATACAACTTTTGTCCGAAACACGAAACCTAAAAATATCTTTAAGGTCATCTCGCATGGATAACAACACAAAACTTAATATTTCATGCACTAGAATGGAGACTAAACTTATAACACTCATAACTCAATCAATTCTTAACATTTTTTCACGATTCTAGTGTCTAAATTATAGCCCCAAGTGTCTAATTTCTAATACAACAAACAGAAATTTATTTGGTTAATCACACAGAAAAATATTACAAAAATACTAAGGTACATTCATACGTAAAATCTTTCAATTACTTATTAATTCATATAATTAAGGGTGTTCACCAATCTACAAGATCCCTAACTAACAAAGCACATCCCCATGAATTCAATTATCATTTAGATCATCAAATTTACCAAACAATATGACAAACACATTCATAAATCAATATAAAACCTGATTGAATAATCAATTTTAGGGTCAGAATAGAAAATGAACAATCTTAGGAATTTTAGGGGTTTTTCCCACTACCCATTCTCTCTTGTAATTTCACAAATTTAAAACCTAATTGAATCGTCAATTTCACAAAACAACAGATCAATTGTCAAAACCCTAATCCCTCATGAATCCTAACTCACAAACACATTTCAATTAATTCAATCTTTCTCCCAGAATATCAATTTTTAACATCTAATACCATAAATACAATCTCCAATACAAGTAGAATTTATCTGAATTACCAAATATACAAACAAAAAATATTATAAAATTACTAAGAATCCTAGGGAACTCTCTACCTTTAGCCATTCCCTCATGTGACTTCACATACAAAAATCCACTTTTTCCCCATACCTGGTTACGTTAATCTGAATAATCCTGATGCTAAATAAGACTGTTCCTTAGCACTCTTCCTCAGAGTTCTCTATTTCTCCTCTCTGTCTTCCACTACAACACAAATAGCTTTTAGCAACATTTGAAAAATGTTACTTAATTATGTATAAATGTTACTAATTTGCTTTAGCAACATCTTATCAAATGTTGTATATAGTCCATGTTGCTAAATATTTTTAATAACATTTTTATATAATTAGGCAACATTTTTCAAATGTTAGCAAAGTAATATTTTTGTAACATTTTAATAATGTTGTCAATATTTTGTTAATTTTATAAAATAATAATTAATTTTAATTTAGATATATTACTATCAATTATTATATTTTTATGCTTCTTAAACTTCTAGGAATTCTTAATTATTTTTTAGGAGGAGACACTCTTAATTAGTTACCACTAATTATATATAAAATATCAAATTTCATTTATCTTAAGTATAACTATATGCTTATATATACTCTTTATGGGTCATTAATCTATTCGATGTAAGACTTTAATTATGGGTAATAATTAGAGATAAGAGAAATATACCTTTTTTTACTCGATGTGAGACTTTGATTTTAGAAGCAATTATAGTAACATTTTTAACAAAAAATGTTGCAAAATAACCTACGTAAATTTTTTTTACTCGATATGGGACTTTGATTTTGAAAATAATTAGAAAGCATAATATTGAAATAAAAAATGTTAGTCTATCTATAATGACATTTTTTAAAAAAAATGTTGCAAAATAACCTATTTGTTTAATATTTAGTAACATTTTAACAAATGTAAACAAGAAAATGTTGTTAAAGAATTAAAATCTAGTAGTGTTCTTTAATCCTTCAGAACACAAAACCAGACAAATAAGGTTAACTCTGTTTGATCCTTTCTTAAATATAATCCACTCGACAAAGCAACCCATTTTCCTTCTCTTCCCAACCTGTTTCTTTTTTTCCCAAAAAGAAGTAAATAAATATATAATACGAAATACTTTTTTTCAATAATAATAATAATAATATATTTCTAACTCAAAATATAATAATATAGTTTCAATATCATAATATCCTATAAAATTAACCTTTTAAATTTTATAATAAAATATATAATTAATTGACTTCTAAATTATCCCTTAAAACACAGATAATTATTTAAAATGCTAATATAAACACTTATTTAATATGTATAAAATGATTATTTAAAACGTACCAAATAATATTCTCTTATAATAATAAAATAATTTTGACCAAATACTATATAATAATAATAATAATAATAATAATAATAATAATAATAATAATAATAATATTTTTAAAAAATAAGGTGTTATATCGTTAATAATAAATTTTAGTATAGTGTAAATACATTTTTAATGCCTATTATATATTAGTCAATAATATTTTTATTAGATAATAAAATAGAGGTACTTAATTTATTACTATTAAATAATTGTCGCTAATAATAAATTTTGTTGTAGTGTATCTTTATATATTTTTTTAATGGTTGAACTCTCATGATATGTTTTCATGGGTGTAGAGTAGGGTTAAGTGGAAGGCTTATGGAGTATTGGGAGTCATGTTGTTAGCGACTTAGCGATGTAGTCCTTGACTACTTTTGTGTAATTTTTTTGTAATTACGTGACTGTTATATTAAATACAGGGACTATCACTATAAAAAATTAGGTAATTAGTAGGGGTTTTTCTGGCGATTTCAAAAATCCGTCACAAAATATTATATTTCTAGCATTTATTTTAACTGTCACAAAAGAATGACATTTTTAGTGGTTTAAAACCGCCACAATATTTAAATACCTTTTTATGTGACAACCATTTTTTTTTAATATTTTTAAAAGAATAAAAATAAAAATCAAAATCTTATTCTTAGATTATTTATTCGTTCCCTCGCTCACTCCCCCACTCTCGCTTACTCCCAGTCCCTCACTCGCTCTCAGACGTTGAGGTCGATGTCGCGGCAGGAGGCCAACCCAAGAAGAGGACGTTCAAGAAGTTCAGTTCAGCGGCGTCGATCTTGACGCGCTTCTCGACATGTCCACTGATGAACTCGTGAAGCTCTTCAGTGCTCGCGCTCGCAGAAGGTTCCAGAGAGGTCTCACAGAAAGCCCATGGCCTTTATTAAGAAGCTTCGCAAAGCGGTACTATTTTCTATCCTCTTTTCGCCTATGGGCTATGGTCTTGTACTGATTTCTGTATTATACTTCAAATGTGCATTGTACTACGTCGATTTGTGTGGACACGATTATAAGTGATATGTTTGATTAGTAAACTTCATAATTTAATTTTTAGTAGGACATTCTTTATTAATTAAAGTGGTTATTAGGTCAAGAAAATTGAGTATTGGGATTAAGATTGGACTGAAGCATTGTAAATTGATATAGTTGAGAGCAATGGCAAGGATAGTGCGTGGAATGTACTTTTTATGAAGGGGGAAGAGTGTTGGAATCTCTAATGGGCTTGTAAGAGTTTCACTCTATAAAATTTGAGGTTTTAATTTATAGTATAGGAGTGCATATCTGCTGATTATTATTTATTTGAATGCAACTGTATTCTGATGGATTGTTGATATTTTCTTATTGTGAGGTATATTTTCTGGAATTAAATTGAATTATTTGTTTAATAAATCTTTTTGATTGGTCACAGAAAAGGGTAGCTCCACCAGGTGAGAAGCCAGAACCAGTCCGCACCCACCTCCGTAACATGATCATTGTGCCTGAGAGGATTGGTATCATTATTGGAGTATACAATGGCAAGACTTTTAACCAGGTTGAAATCAAACCCGAGATGATTGGGCATTATCTGGCTGAGTTCTCTATTTCATACAAGCCCGTTAAGCATGGAAGACCTGGTATTGGTGCTACTCACTCATCCAGGTTCATTCCTCTCAAGTAAAATCTGTTCCGGGGAAGTTACATTTTAGTTTGTAGTGGTTCTGAAGTAAACCTTCAACTCCTATCAGAGATTTTGTTTTGTTGTTTGAGCATTTGATTTTCAATTTTCCTATTTATGTTTTGACGATGGTTTATCATGACTTGATTCCATAGTATCAACATTTTACTGTTTAATTTTGTGAAGTTAAATTTATTTTGATAAGTTGACCCGTTTGTTGCGAGATATGGTTTATCATAATTGATTCTGTGGTATCACCATCTATATTGAAATGGTATTTTTGATGAGCGTATTTGGATCTTTGTACAAGCAAAGGCTGATTTGCCATGGGTTTTGAACGTGTTATTAATGGAGTTAATGGAACTTTGACACATGGTTGGTAGTTTGATACACCAATTTGCAATGGGTTGAGCCGGATTGGCTACGTTTTGAAGTTTGGGTTTGTTACTCTTGTTCGGCATACACTTGCAATTTAGGATATAGAAATTATTAATTTTCTTGTTATTGTTTTGTTCTGATTTGATGTGTTTATATATTATTATCTCCAATCCTTTTTATATCAAGAGTTGAGCAAAAAAACTTTTGTAAGAACCTAAAATAAATATTTAATATATTCTTTGTTTTCTAACAGAGAGGACTTGAGGATGTCATGAACTACCTTGCTAGAGAAGCTCTTCATGGGAAATTGAAAAGCATCCTATTCCTAACGCCATGCCATGCCACTCCCTACTATTCAATGCTGCATCATAACCTAAAGAGGAGGGATTTTATTCAAAAACAGGGGTTATTCCTGGTGAGAAAACTTATAGTTAGTTAATTGAAGGTCTTGAAATCTAGAGTTCAAGTCAACTTCAACCATGTATAATGTTTTAATCAATGCCTATGCACAAATGGTATGTTATTTTGGAAATTCTATCAATAAATAACTATCACTACAATTAATTCTATGCTAGATTGTTTGGTAATGTAATCATTGTTGGTTTATATATACATACCCAATATGCCAATTGTTTTGTTTATGCACTATTATAATATCGTTGCTATAGAACAAAGAGACCAATAATCATTAGTAAATAGTAGTGTCTAATAGGTGCCGGAACATTTGAATAGAGACAGTTTTAGTAATAGTAGTGTCGGCTACAAAATCCTAAAACTAGGCATAGTTGGGTGCGAATGGTTCTGTCATGCTTATGTTGCAGTAGCCAACTTTGTTCTTTCTTGTATTGTTCTTTCTCCGGATTCTAATAAATCTCATCGAAAGGTTGGTACAAGTTTTGCCGCTTATTTTTCTGTTTGTCAGATTCAGAAGACAGTCCAAAAGATGTCTGTCAGCAATCACTTTGAGATTGGGTCAAAGTGGGAGTCTCATTACAATGGGTTGAATTTTTAATAAAATATTAAATATATAACTTCACACTTTTGATTGCTAGGCCTTTGTTGAGGAGATAATGGAGCTTGTGGAGCTCACTCCGTTAAGTGGAGCACTAGTGGGTCTACCTGGAATTGATGGTCTGTCAACTGAACAACGAAAAAGGTTGACTATAACAGTGGAACTGGTTTCCAACCCTTCTATAGTCTTCATGGATGAGCCCACTTCTGGATTGGATGCCCGGGCCGCAGCTATTGTGATGAGAACTATGAGGAATATAGTAAATACTGGGCGGACAATTGTGTGCACGATCCATCAACCTAGCATAGACATTTTTGAATCCTTTGATGAGGTATTCTCTTTACGAGAGAACTTTTCCAGCATTCCATTTAAGCATAGGTATTTGAAGTTGCACTTATCAATGGGCAACATATCCTCCCTGATGGAGCAACCAAATTTTTTACTTTTTAGTTCACATTATTATATTAATATGCCTATCTTTGGGTAAAAGTTAAAGTTAAGAAAGGGCTTTTGGAATTCCAATACACATTTTTGAAGTTCAAAGCATAAAATGAAGAAGAATTTGTTGTTAGGTTTAAAAGTACTTTTGAGCTATCCTATTAGGCATCCAAGCATGCACTATATAGTTGCTATACCGTATTTCCTTTCTATTTTGTTTTTGTACGTGTAATATATGTTCGTAGCTGTTTTATTTGTATATTTCAGCTTTCCTAATCCTGTCTATAATTCGAAATGATCAGTGGTTTCTAAAAGAGAGCATCATATACACACACATATATATATATTATCTTTTTATTTGAATTTCTCTTTTAACACTTGCTTTCTCTTTGCTAGTCTGACGAAATCCCGACTTCTTTTATAGCTTCTGTTTATGAAAAGGGGAGGAGAGCTCATTTATGCTAGTCCACTTGGTCCTAAATCTAGTGAACTAATTATCAGTTATTTTGAGGTCAGCTGATGCCCTCTTAGCTCTCACTGATCATGTGGTATGGTTGAATGTTATTCATAATATCTATATCTCTGTAGGCAATCGAAGGAGTTCAAAAGATCAGATATGGATATAACCCTGCTACGTGGATGTTAGAGGTTACTTCTCTAACAATTATATTTAGCTGACGTATTTTATGTTTTCTAACGATCAGGCTTTATGTACCAACCATGTTAGTATTTTTGCAGGGAGACGCAACAAGATCTATTCAATGCCATGGGATCCATGTATTCGGCAATCCTCTTCATTAGTATAACAAATGGCACAGCTGTTCAGCCTGTTGTTTCCGTGGAAAGATTTGTTTCTTATAGAGAAAGGGCTGCAGGGATGTATTCGGCTTTATCATTTGCATTTGCTCAGGTATTTTGTTAGATATAACATTCATTTTGAATTAGTGCATGGAAACAACGAGTTTCCATAAGTTGACTCGCTATCCTACAATGTGCAGGTTGTGATCGAGTTCCCTTATGTGTTCGCACAGGCTATGATATACTCTACAATATTCTATTCCATGGCTTCCTTTGTCTGGACTGTTGATAGGTTCATTTGGTACTTATTCTTCATGTATTTTACGATGCTATATTTTACCTTCTATGGAATGATGACAATGGCTGTCACACCAAATCATAATGTCGATCATTGCTGCTCCATTTTATATGTTGTGGAACCTTTTCATTGGTTTTATGATTCCTCACAAGGTATGGAAACTGATACTTATTGCTTCTTTATGGAGTCACTAGTGGAAAATTAGGATATTACGTCACCCATTTTACGTCGGAAATACAAACACCCGACGTAATAAAAATGCGGTGGCACGTTTCGTAATTTTTATGACTTTTTTACGTCGGACCTTTAAGGGACTGACGTAAATAAGCCACAGCCTGCTTAAAACAAGGTGTGCGCGCATGGCTAGGTTTCAAAAATTTCTTTCTCCCGCGCGTTGTTTCTTCTTCTGCACCTCATCCCTCTGAAGCCTCCTCAAGTTTCTTCTTCTGTTTTTCTTCTTCGGAGGTTTCTTCTTCGCGTTGGTTTCTTCTTCGCCTTAGTTCCATACGTCCATCTGTTTTTCTATGAGGTTATGTTTATGACCAGTTTCAAGATTTTTTTTGTAATCAACAGAATCAAGCTCAGATAAAAGAGGAGAAGATGAAGAGTGACTGTCAGCAAGTAGCAGAGACATCCACGGATCCAACTGGGTTAGGCCGAGATGAAAGGAGCTCTGCGCTAGAAGAGTTAAAAGATGAAGTCCGGATTTGGAGAACCTGCTCCTGGGTTTATCAAGCAGAACGGGCCGTTCTGCTGCACTTGTTTTCTTTTTTTTTTTTTTTAAAATTTTTTTATGACTTTTTACGTCGGACCTTGGCATGTCCGACGTAAATTTACGTCGGTTTTCGCGTCCCGACGTAAATTTACATCTCCCTCTTCTACGTCAGAACTTTTTCTGACGTAAAAACCCCTAAATAATCGACGTAAAATACTTATTGTGTACTAGTGAGTGTTGGTTTATTTAGATAAAGAATATGTTCAAAAAGCCTTAAGCTGATTGCAAATATTAGGTTTGACCGTTTGACCTTGATCATAAATCATGTTTCATAATTCATCTTTTCCAGGTTTGACTTGCCATTCTTGGTTTTATTACTGCCATGGCAAATGAGCCAATTCTTTTGAGTTTCAAATGTTACTTTGAGCATTTAGGACGACGAAATTAATCATGGAAACATGATTCATTATCAAAATTCATCTTTTTGGTTTTATATCAAAATTAGTAAAATTGTTATTTAAGAGTTACTTGAATTAAATAATAATATAATATAGTCATTATTAATTTTAAATGATTAATATAGTTAGTAATAATTTTAAACAATAATTTGATAAATACCTAAAATATATAGATGATTATTTCTCAATTTATAATATGAGCGTGCTTTTAAAATAATTTTCAATCTATTTTTTAATATAATAAAAATGAAATTTTGTGGTGATTTAAAACTGCCAGAAATGTTGGATGAGGAAAAACTATCAAATGAATTTTGTGGCCGTTTTAAATCGTCCCATGAAAATGCATTTTGTGGCGGTTTAAAACTGCCACAAAATGATTGAATTTTCTTACAAAATATACGCCACAAATTGTTTTTGGTGACTGTCGATCCGGCGGTTAATGCTGGTAATTCCATTTGAGGCGGTTTTTCACTGTCAAAATAACCGTCACAAATCACACTATAATGTGTCATTATAAGTATCTCTTTGTATTTAACATCTAGGGGTTGATTTTAATTAACATAAACATATTTCATGAACAATAATGATTAAAAAAATGTTTTCATATATATATATATATATATGTAGTTACGTTTTTGAAAAAATATTAATGTTTTAATTAATAAGACATAAGGATGCAAATTAATAAATAATATATATATATATATATATATATATATATCAATATACTTTAATTTTTTAATATAATTATTAAATATATAAAAAATTGAATAAACGTTAATCATTGATCGAAACTTATTCTCTCACCCTTCAATCCCTCTAGTGTAGTAGTGACATTTGCAATGCAAGAGCCTGTTATTATTTTTCAATGTTCGAAGCTACTAGTGTGATGACTTTCTTTCATTCACTGTTAAAATGTACCAGTTACTTATTATGTAAAAGTAGATAAAAGATGTAAAACTTGATATTTTATAATATATAAATTAGATTAATTTTTTAATTTTAATTTTTTTCATCAATTTTATGAAGATAAAAATAGAAAGCAAAAGTATAACTTAATTTTAATATTATTAAATATTAACTATCACATTATTTATTCCATTCAAATCAACATCAATATTATAATTTTAATGACCAATACGTGAATATTTTATGGTTGGGCCAAAATTACACATCTTATAAAATTGAAAGATTAAAATTGAGGAATTAAAATTTGGAGACTATTTATCTTTTTAGATACGTAATAGTGATCATTAAAATATAATTAAAAATAATAAAATATATTTACATATAAATTAATACTAACTCATTTAATTTATTTATTATTTTTTAATTTAATTAGTTAATTAATTAGTAAGTTATCTTGTTAAAAAATTAAAGGCTTAAATATGTTTTTAATCTTTCAAATATAAAATTGATCTTTTTAGTCCTATAATATTTTAAAATTTTATTTTAGTCATTATACTCAAATTTTGTTAGGGATTCTTTCTAATGTAGTTGAATTAAATTCACTTACTAGTGTCTTTATTAGTGAAAATATGACACTAAATCTAGTTGATGCTACATAACTGTCTCAATTTGTCACTTTTAGACATATTATTGGTGACCTAAGAGACTAAAACAAGTACAAGAACAAAAGAAAATAGTTTTAAATTTGAGAGACTAAAAATAAATTTGTCTTAAATTTAAAGAATTAAAAATGTAACATCCTATTTTTTTAAAATAATAATATTAATACTATTATATTATAGTCAAAAGTATTCTTCATTTTTACAATAGGGGAATTATTTTGCTATATTTATTTATTTAATTAATTTAATAGGAGAAGGGAAATGGATCGGGTTGACCCAATTTAGTGGGCTTTTAAAAGAGGGATTAGACAGAGTTAACAGATCTGCCTCATTTTGTATTATAAAGAATTAAGAGAGAAAAGGAAGAGAAGTAAGGAACTCTGAGAAGAAGTGCTCAAAATCATGTCAGATAGCATCAAACTAATCTTATCAACACAATAAGGTACATGGAGGGAAATGAGTGATTCATGTGTGGGATTATAAGAAAGAATGAGTAGTGTGAGAATTCCCTAAATTCATAAGGTTTTCTATTTCTGTTCTGATGATGTAATTAATAATCCAATTAGGTTCTATATTGAATTTATGAATGCGTCTATTGTATTATTTGTTAAAAATTAATGATCTGGGGAATAGTTGAACTCATTGGAGTGTCTCTATGGGTTAAGGTTTTTGAGAAATGAGGATACTATAATTGGTATTAAAATTCATGGAATTAATGTTGTATGATGTGTTTTTGTGTGAAAACAAGTGTTTCTGACCGATTGAATTAGTAAAAGGATGATTGTATGATTGGTTGTGAGTTTTTGGTGATGTTATGTTCATATTGCATTTCTGGAAAATGCATTGGGTGCCGGCCATGAGTTCTTGGTGCCGAGCTTGCAATTATACCGATGAATGTGAAGCCCAAACATAATTACGTCAGGCGTGAGATGTATCACGCTGGGTGTAATAATGTGGTGAACTCTCTATGGTTCCTTAGCGTCGGGCGTGATTTCTAACGCCGAGCGCAAAAGAGACTTGATGTTGTCTGTTTGTTCTTAGCATCAAGCATGAAGCTATGCGTGTGCTCTCTATTGTGACTTAAAGTCGGGCCCAATTTGGTAATGGCCAATGAAATCTATGAATATTTGTATTTTGATGATGATTGTGAGTTGTATGATGTCCATGGATGGCTATTGTATGATTGAGTATGAATGGTGTGTGTCTAGATGAATTGATGTACGAATATGGTTGGATGTGACTTATTATTAATTGTGGACTAGCTTGGATAGAAAGAATGAAAGTGTGAGGTGACATGGCATGAGCATTGGAACACGTCGCACACACATTTACCCTAGCCATAAGTGATGATTAACAGGGGATGCATCTTTATACACTGGCCAAAAGTGGTGATTAATAATGTGATATTGATCACAAGTGATGTAAACGGTGTGAGATGAATTATTTATACATTAGCCAAAAGTGGTGATTAATAGTGTGACATTGGTCATATGTGATGTAAACAATGTGGCCATGCATGATGGTGCTTGAGGAGATTGATGAAGTTCGTCCATTGTGCAACGTTTTTAGTTGATGCTTCTTAGGAGATTATGTAACATCTCAAATTTTCTACTGATATAATAGTTATTATTATTTATTTATATATTTATAGAAATTATTTTCTTATAATTATTTCAATTAAGTAAATGAGTTTTATTAAATATATTGAATTTTAGTAGCCTAGAACAGGCCGTTCCCAAACTGAAATGGGTCGTTTCAAACTACTAAAATGGCCTATAACCCTAGTTGGGAACGGGCCGTTCTAGTTTAAGAATGGGCCGCTCCAAACATGACTGTTATGAGTTAAAATCAACCCAAGAATGGGCCATTCTGGTTTAAGAACGGGCCGTTCCAGATGCGAATTTTACACATGACGAATGAGTCCAGAACAGGCCATTTCGGATCTGAAACGGGTCGTTCTGATCACTCATGATGTCTATAAATAGCACACTCTAGCACTCCCAAAAGGGCATTTTTCACTTCTGACTCCTTTTTCTTCTACACTCTCTGAAGACCAAGGGGAACCTAGAGGAGGAGACCAACTAGATCCCAACTACAATTTATCAAGGTACAGGAGAAAAGGGATTATTTGTATGCAAAGTTCATGAGAAAATTGGGTAGAGGAGGAATCCCGTAGGATTATAGGTAATTTTATAATTATTTCTGTGTGAGAAATTGATGATCCCATTAAATTTTGCATGTATTGAGGATTATTAATATGCAAACAATTTGTAAAAATGATGATCTGGGAGAGAGAAAGAAATTGTAAAAAAATGTCTGTGAGTTAGGTTTTGAAAAAATTGGGAGTTTTACTATTTGAGTTAAGATTCTATGAAATTGATTATTCAATAAGGTTTTATATTGATTTATAAATGTTATTGTTATATTATTTGGTAAAATTGATGATCTAGATGATAATTGGATTCATTGGGATGTGCTCTACAAGTTAGGGTTCTTATAGATTGATGAGCACCCTTAATTATATGAATTGATCAGTAATTGAGAGATTTTTCTTTATGGACGTACTTCAGTATTTTTGTGGTATCTTTCTGTGTGATTAACCAAATCAACTTTCAACTTTCAAGAATTGATTGAGTTATGCAAGTTATAAGTTCAGTCTCCATTCCAATGCGCGAAAGATTTAGTTTCGTGTTGTCAACCATGCGAAGTGACCTTAAAGACATTTTTTAGGCTTTGTGTTCTTCATAAAAGTTGTATATTTGGGTGTTAGGTTTTTAATGGATTTAGAATCACTCAAAAATGATGTCTAAAACTCTAGATATGGCTATTTTAATGAGCAGGGGTCAAGCTGTCAGCTTGGATTATATTTGTATCGGTTTCTAACATTTTTAGCTAAGTAGATGATATTTTTTAGAATTTCATGTCTTCACAAGAGTTGTAGATTATCCTCTTATGTTTCTTTTGAGATAGGTTTGAGCTTCTTTGGATGAGTATAACTCTTTGTATGTTGTTTTCTTTGACAATTATCAAAGGGATGACGCATGTTGTTTGATGTTC